GCAGAGTTGTATAGTAAAAGCTCCTAAAACTTGTCACACATACACATCATGTTGGTCATCGCCTTACAGTGTTTTGTCCATCTATTTGTTGATATCTAATGTAATAGTATGATTTAATTTTACTGTTCAGAATTTTGTAGCACTTTGCACTTTATCACCACCAACTCAATCTGCGCGCGCTCATAACATACACACTGGAAAAACAAAGGTGTGATGTCCTACCTTTCCAGGGGCGTTAAACTCGTTTTAGGGGTGTATTTTCAGTTTCTTCAAAATATTTTCTATATGAGCAAACCAATCACATTTTGAGATTCATTATCGCATTCCTCACAAAATTCTGCGTCAAACGAGCCTACATGTGATAGGGTTCAGATAAGCGGTCAGCAAATGAAAAGCAAGTCAAAAAGTACAAAAAAAGAAATCAATCTATGCCATTTTTGAACAGAACCCCATCATATGTAGGCTCGTTTGACGCGGAATTTTGCGTAGATTACGAAAATAGAAATTGTAATGCCTTTGGAGCTTTAACGCCTTTTAAAGGTAGGATGTCCTACCTTTGTTTTACCAGTGCACACTGACGACGCATGCACACCATTTACTATGTTCAGTAATTATATTCAACGATTTACTTTTCTTTTCAGATGTTGCTAGCGCTTTGGGCCGGAGTACCAATTTCGAAGGCTTCATGAACCCATTCACCAACGCCCAGTCTCAGAGTGAGTTATTTTGTACTTTCCTGCGCAATATCCCTTCTAGTTCAGTAAGGTTCTGTTTGTATCACTAATCACCTCAACCACCGCAGTACCCGAATCATTGGCTCTAAAAGCCCCCGCTTTCCCAGTCGTACGAAAGCCTTCGCAGACTTTTTAGTGCATGGACCGGGGCCTAGATTCGTGATAAACCTGTGCGGCTGAGGGAGCCAGCGTTGTGATTGGAAGCGTGCAGGGAAACATCTCGCTCAGGGCCCCACGCACACCAGCGAAAAAGTGAAGCAGCGTGAAGAATGGGGTGGTCGGCGCTGGCGCTCTGTGCCCGAGGCAGGCGTGCCGTTCATGGTTGTTCGGTTCTCATCAAAGTGACACTGCGCCCGGGGCGTGCGCCTCGGCGTGCGCCACCCACGTCAACATCTCTCCCTTAAGTGTAACGGCCCTGCATCACGATCGTCGTATAGCGCTTACCTTTCTTCCTAGCAATAAAGGTCGGTGTTATGGCGTTCCCAATAATAAAAAGAAACTCTCCTCGGAAATTCGCATCCGACGGATATTGTAATTAATGTTGGAGGAGGGGAGAGGGGGAAGGGGAAGGGGAAGGGGATAAATACTTTATTAAAAAAAGCGTTCTACTGTAGTTTATTGTTCTGTAAGTTTGCTAAATAATTCAAATTTACACACTTCTTGCCCTTAGCTTAACCGGCCATAAAGATTAATCCGACGCGTCCGTGCAACAATATCCTATCTGTTTCGCTGCCCCGAAAGACTAGCCAATCTGTTTCGCTGCCCCAAAAGACTAGCCTATCTGTTTCGCTGCCCCGAAAGACTAGCCTATCTGTTTTTCCGCGCTCTCCGCAGCGCTGTCTTCTTTTCTTTGTGGGTTTGCTAATATTAACGGTAGAAAAATAATAAAAATTGCCATTTGTACCTTGATCTTCAAGGAACACGCAGCAGTGTTCACTTTTTTCCTACTGTTAATATCGGCAAACTCACAATAAAAAGAAGACAGCGATGGCAGAAAGCGCCGAAAAACAGACAGGCTAGTCTTTTGGGGCAGCGAAACAGATAGGCTAGTCTTTCGGGGCAGCGAAACAGATAGGATATTGTTGCACGGACGCGTCGAATCTAAAGTCCCGATCTGTCAAAATCCGTACAAATCGACCGTTTGAAGAGAGGGGGGGGGGGGGGAAGTTTTGCTCATTATTAAATACATGATACTTACGTAATGTGTGTTGTTCCCATTTGAATTTAAATGCCTCAAGGTAACGATAGGTGTGGTGCCCCGTCCACCCTACCCACCCACCCACACCTACCTCCCATCCCACTCACACCTACCTTTCCAACCCTCTCACTCACCCACCTACCCACCTACCTACCCACCCACAGCTTTGAGCCGTAGCCCGTGCCGCGTGCGTGCCCCCGAGGCAACTGCTTGTTGTGGTTCGGAGCTCCGCTACGGCGAGGGCGGCGCACACCGCGGAGCAGCGGGTGATATGACATTAGAGCGAGACGACAGCGATTCATCACGCTTGATTTGACACAAGCCACCCATAATGTCTTTATCACTGTCACAGGTTGAGCGCACTAGAAACACAAAAAGGTTGTGTTCGGCGCTTTTAAATGGTGTGAATATTTTACTTCATTTACTACATAAAATCTACCTAAAATTTGATAACATTTTGAGCCGGTGGATCAATCTCTTATATTGCCACCGTTGACATTTCCCCTAAGTTTTCCCAACACTGCACTGCGTTCCTACATTTTGTACATACTTTCTATAAAAATACCATTTGAGGCGTCCTCTTTGCAATAGTCGCAATAGCCCAATTGAATTTTCGCTGTTCTTTGTTTATGCTTGAATAAAATTGTAGCATATTTTATATTTTCATTGTTATGTGTACGAGTGTGTGAACATGCCTACCCACCTGGTGGTTTGTCCGTGTCTCTATGCCTTGTGTGCAGGAGCTAATAAAAACGCGGCATATAATTAATTACAAGTATTTTGATGATGAATTAGTGGTAAGTGTTCTTTTGCCCCACAATGAGGCTTGTGCCTTGTCTGCTTTTCTTTGGGACCGTTGTGATAGGTCTCTGGGTAGGGATGTCGGGTACACTCATCCGGGGAGGGGGACC